CCCAGCTCCTGCCCCAGCTCCAGCCACCCATTGCCTGATTTATGTATATTTATGTCTATGTGTGAAATTTTTGCCAGACTTGGTGCGTCGCACATAAAAACTAAAATCAATATCATCAAGTTGTGAGCGTCTGGTATTTATCGCCCGGGTCTGCTGCTGCTGCCCCCGGAAAAGCGTGCGGAAAATGGCGCATCCAAAATAAAAGCCCGGAAACTAAAATCAAGCAATATCAACAAATAATTACGACGCTATAAGAAAACAAAAAAAACATTACATATTGCGTGTCCGATTAGCGCTGAGAGCTGTTGGGCAAATGAGGTTTCCTCTTCGTTTGTATACCCTGTAGCCAATTGAAAAAGTAGGCAAAGTGGGGCATATTGGTTATGTGTATAAGTAGGTAACAGAAAGAAGTAGCCCAATTTCATTTATCTGTCAGATTTTTGTAAGACAAATATTTATATATATTTTTATATTTGAAAAATAAATGATTTTTTGTATGCATATTCTTTGTTTTTTTTTTTTAATTTTTAACTTAATCAAACAATACATGCAAAAGTTATTTAAAAGAGAATATTGAGAATCAAAGTGCTTACACAGATAAAATTTATAACAACTTTATACGACAAGGCTGCTTACAGGGTATTTGCTAGTCTGGCAACCTCGACTGCAGCACACTTGTTAGCTTTCATCTTCTTTCTTCTTTCGTATAGTATAAACAATTACAATTACAAATTCATATCTGTTTAAGCACAATTGGGCCGTGCAGTGCGCCTCGAAAGTTATCGGCTCTAGGAAACGAAGATACCCTGTTTTTTTTTTTTTTGCCCAGCCCATATGACGTTTGTTTTCTTGAAATTGTTTATACAATTTGCAATAAGTTATTATTGGTTTATTTGTTTATCTGCCGGCGGATTCGCTGAATCAGTAGCGATTTCTTTATAAAACAATGCCGCGTGACTCAGTAGAACATTTACTTGCCATGTTTTCAAGTTTCTTTGCTAAAATTTACAAAATTAGCGAGGGGAACGAGTCGAGGGGGGGGGGGGGCTGAGGGACGGCGACTCGAAATGCCAAAAGCTGCGCAGACGCCGCAGCCGGTTATTGTTTTTGTAAACTTTGACAACAACCTGAAAGAGCACGTGAAGATGTCGATTGGCATTTAGTAAGGAGTGAGGGGGGAGAGGGGGGGGGGGGCTTGGGTGCACAAAACTTGACTTGAAGATAATGCCCGATGAAATGGAAACCAGTTCTATAATTGAAATGCACATGAAATTCAACAACTGCTGTAAGTTGAGCTGCATCGGAAATTCTTGTAAAGCATTGAGAATCTTTTTTTAAAGCTAACTTATCTACAAAAGTTGCGAAACAAATGGATTTAAATCGCATGAAAAACGGGTGAAATTGACGCTGTTAACCTGTTGAAAGGTCGACTTATCAATTGACCCCTACAACTTTTTATATATATTAAAAAATGCATTCAAGATGCGCTTTATTGTAATCGAGTTGGATTTTAATTAATTGATTTTGTGAAACCATAATTCACGATCGGAAAATGGGTGAAAATGAAAACGTTTAGAATTTGTAAGGGATTTGCTTCGAATTTGAATTATTTTTTTTTAGAACTTGGAATACTTGTGATTAAAATTTATGTTTTTAACAAATAGAGTTTAAGGAAATTGATTTGTGAATTTAAATCCACTCTAAAATCAAAGCATTTGAATTTGTTATTAATCACAGCGTTTAAAATTCTAGGAAAAACACTCGGCACAGGCAAACTGGTTACAACCAGTGGGTTATACCAGGCATAATTTAAATGTTTAAGCCAGATCTTTGCCCTGCTCGACTATTAAACTTTAAGCCCTATAAATTACAGTCTATTCTAAATTGCCACACAATATACCCTGTACTTAAACGTTTTAGATATATATATATATATATTTATATATTTCGTTTGGCGTCTTGAGCAATTGCCAGACATTGAGGAGCTGCCATTTGGGTTGGGGCCCTGCCCGATTTCATTTTCAAGGCACGTTCGTTTGTTTTTTTTTCGTGTCTCGTCTTACAAATATTTCATTTTGACAATGTGCCAAGCGCCGCCTTGCCCGTCGAGTGACCCAATTAGCCCCACGCTGATTCACAGCAGATCTTCTTCTTTTTTTCAAATAGGATTCACAGGATTCCAGCTAGTTAGGAGCCCTGCTTCAATTGGCCAGAGAGATGCTAATGGAAAAGCACACACAGAGACCAGCTGCTAATTGTCAGCACAATTTGATTACCTGTTGGTCTGTCTGTCTGTCTGTTTGTACAGTGCTGCCCAGCTGCTAATTGCCAGATAAATTTGATTACCTGTTAGCCAGTGTGCACTGTACAGTGTTGTCCTGTCTAGCCGTTTTATGGCTATATTCATATTTATATAGCTATATTTCGAATCAAAGATCGGATTTTCTTTAAATCATACAAAATTTACTTTAAATTCAGATTTTGTATTTGAGCCTAGGTGAAAGAAAAGTTGACTATAAAACAACTAGAATACATTCATATTATTTTATAAATAAAACTCCAGTTAATTACAAAAAAAGAGCGTGGTTTCAATTAAATTCGTCACTCAATTTAGTTGATTCTTCTTTCGTTTAAATATAGCTAATTAAGCTTTGCAACACTGGTTTTGTGCTCGACACCTGCAGGTGATTCGTTGAGGTTTAGCGTTAAGCGCTGAATCAGCAGCCTGTTCCGAGAATTGTGGCCGTGGGGGCGACAAAGACAGCGGAGGTAGGGACAGATATTTTTCTATGCAAAGCAAAAACGACGGGCGCAGAAGCCCAATTTAAATTAGCTGAGATAAGTTATCAAAGGCGACGTGCCAAGTGTCTGTCCAAGCAGACTACTCTGTATATACTCTGTATATATGTTATATATATGTATACTTGTGTTATCAAAATACCTATGCAGATTCGCTGGCTAAGATTGCGCAACATATTTAGCGCTTCATTGGACACGGAGAACGCGATCGTTTGGCGGATGCAGCAGGGTCTTTGGTAATACGAGAACTGACACCTACAACAAACCAACAAGATACAAATGCAGTCGACTGCGCAATACCCTGTTTGCAGTTTAAGCTTGAAATGGATGAATGGCTGTGAAGTTAGTGACTCAAAAACTGAGACTGTAAAACAGTTGCCTTCAAACTGTAAGCGATAAACTGTTTACGGCGGGAACTTAATAGGTTGAGCTTTATTTAAGACTTTACAACACTATTCCAGCTTCAATTCCAACCTAATCTTTAATAAGTAGAGATTTACTTAAGACTTTACAACACTACTCCAGCTTAATCTTCAACAAGGAGAGATTTATTGAAGACTTTACAACACTATTCGAGGCCAACCTTTAATAAGCAGAGATTTATTAAAAACTTTACAACACTATTCCAGCTTCAATACGCACATGTAATCAAAGCAAGATACTCGGTTTGTAAACAGAGTATAAACAAGGAAATTCTAGCTACTTGACGAAGTGTCAGACCTGTCGACGGTCGACTCACGTCTGGCAACAGAAAACTGAACCGAAAACTGAAAACCGCAGCTAGACATTTATGAATATGTAATACCCTTAAGTAGCGCACACTTTGACTCATGGCGAACCGAGTCGCGAGGCGCGAGTCGCGGATTTGAAATCTTAAGCGACGAGTCGCAAAGCGTACTTGCTGTGAGTCATGCCCCATTGCATACGAGAGGCTGGTAAGGGGTAGGGTGGGGAGGGAGGGGGCGTCATGCAATTTAGTTGCCAATTAACCGCAAAAGCTTTATGCTTGCCCTTTTTTTTTAGCTAGGTGTCAAGCGGTTGTGAGGCTGCAAATTGAGTTTGAGCTAAGAAGTAGGCAATTTGTGAGTAAACAAACACGGCTATACGACTACGAAATACCCTGTACGATAGTTAAATCAGTAAAAAATTAACTTTCTTTGTTGTGAAATAAAAAAAGGAGATACAAAAATGCCCAAATAAATTCCCGTAATATATTATAGTAAAATACACTCTATATTAAATGAAATGGAATGTCTTGAACTATAAAATACTGTCAAATAAATTGACCAAGATCTTAAATTCAAGAAAAAAGATATTTTACATATTTATAAGTTATTTAAATTTGAAGAAATAACAAGACTAATATGATTCTTTTAATATTTTTTTTAAGTTAATAAACCCCCCTCTTTGGAGTTATTTAATGGGTATTAAAATGTACTATATTCTTATAGGGCACACTTACGTATTGAAGGTCTTCTGATAATCCTTGATTTGCTTGCGCGTAAACTCATGGAATTCGGTGTAGACATTGACCACCTTGAAGGTGCGCGGCACTTCGATGCCCGCCTCCTGGGAGTCCATAATCTCCTGGCGTCGGTTCAAAATGTGCGTCAGTTCCGAGCTGTCCGTTGTTGTTGTTGTTGTTGTTGTTGTGCTATCATCGACACTGCCGTTGCGCGAGGCGGACGAGGCATTCGAGGAGACCGACATGTTTTTTTTTTTTAGGTTTTTTGGATTACTTTGCGCTGGAATTTTTCAACACCACACCCTGTGCACAGTTCGTTGATGGCGGCGGCGGCGGCGGGGACAGGCGAGGATGTAAGGATACACACACACACGCACACAAAAGGGCTTGAAACAAGTGCAGTCACGCCTACACAAAATTCACTAGTTCGCTAGCTGGCAATTGGCAATTAAATGCGTTGTCAATAGTTTAACAATAAGATGCGCGCGCAAATACCGGTGTGCAAAGTTGTGCGGGTTTGGTTTATAACTGAGTAATTTTGGTTTTTTAATAAAGCGCGCAAAACATCCAAAGCACACGAAGTCGCCTATACGAATGAAAAGGCAAAGCGAGCGAGCGAGACGCATACGAGCGTAGCAAGAGTCGATTGTGAACGTTTTCGACAGATGTGGCAAGGCCGCATGCAGCGCTCACAGCCGAATGGCAAACAGCTGTTTTAGCTGTGTCTGGCAAGGCACACACACGTTGACGCGTAGCTGGCAAAAATCAATTACAATTTCTTACACATAGAGACCAGCTAAATTTTTTCGCTGTAGATTATTTAAACAAACTTGCTGCATTTGGCAAATAAAAGTTAACGTCAAAATGGGCAGCAAATTCTTGAATAAATTACTGCTAATTGCGGGCTTTGCTAGCTTGGCGCATGCCGCTTTCTCCGCCGCACATCGTAAGTGAAAATTGATGTTAACCTTTGCTCAGACTGAGAATTAATTTAAATATAATTCTTATTTGAAACAGATCGCACCTATTTGCGGCTGACAGAGCAGGAGTGGAGCACTCTGCCGTTAGATGTGAGTATATAAGTTGCACTTTTGTGTCTTAAATAATGATTAAATCCTTGCAGATTATACTGCAAACGGTCATCAGCTTGGTGCTGGTCATTTACAATATTATCCAAATTGTGGGCAACTTTAAGGAGATACGCGCCACGGTGGATATGCAGCAGAGAACCTGGGATACGCTGGGAAACTTTCCATCATTTTATATGTTCAATCATCGCGGTCGCGCTCTAAGTCCCGGCTACAAGCCGCCGGAGCTGAATGAGGACGAGTAGCTACATCAACTATATATCCATTTAAAGCCGGTTTACAAAATGTCTAGTTTAATGCAGTTAGTTGATAAATTATGCTAAACCAACCTAAAATATTTGTTATAATTGTAGCTCCCATGGCTGCCGCCGCCGCTGATCGCAAGGTTAGCGCCTGCTGCGCCAGCTGAGCGTCGCGCAATTGTTGCCCGGGCGTTTCATTGCAGCCGTGACTGTGGCAGAGACGACAGCCCGCCTGGCCGGTGCTCCGCAACATGCACTCGTAGTAGAGCTGGCCATTGGAGCGACAGCCGCGCACGACCAGCTCGCTCTGCGCATCATAGTATTCCAGGCAGGCGGCCGCCTGATCCGCCGGCTCATTGGGCAACCGTCCGCAGGGCAGCGCATTATGTCCACGTTCCACTTGCTCGCAATTCACGCACTGATGGCACCACAGTCGCTGCTCCGGATAGGCGCCCGTGTTGCAGAAGTTGCCCGCACAGCTGCGACAGCTGGCCACCGATGCGCTGTTGCAGTTGAAATCCGCGCGCTGACAGCCACGCTCGGTGGTGCCATTCGTGTAGTTAACCATCAGACAAGGTGTTGCGGGCACATCGCACTGTTCTATGTAAATGCCACCGGGCTGCTCCCAGTTGGCGCAGCCGGCTGCATTGTCGCTGCTGCAGCGATAGCAGCGCGTAAAGTCCTGCACATTGCAGGCCGCCAGGTCATCGCTGCCGTCGCATTCGTAGCAGTTGAGTATATGCGAATCGCTGGGCGGTGCACCGCAGCCGCGTCGCACCTGCCAATCGTCATACTCGCAGGCATAGCACGAGGAAGCCTCCGCGGAGCCGCACACGTTGCTGCTCAGCGCTGTGGCATTGCTGCGGCACGTCTCCTGATTCGCGGAGCTGCAGCTGAGGCAGCGCTGCTGCGGCAGGCAGCCCGCGTTGCAGTTGTCGTCCGTGGCACAGGTCACCAGCTGATCCCGCACTGGCTCCAGCTCTGCCGGCAGCTCTGCAGAGCAGCCGCGCATCACGCGGCTCAGATTGTGATAGGTGTAGCAGAATTGCTGCTGCTCACGGCCCAACAGCAGCTGCTGCTGGCACTGCTGAAACTGGCTGACATTGCAGCGGCTGCCCAGCTGGAAGAGATCCATCTTGCAGCCGCGCGTCTCGCGTGAATCACAGCGTGCACAGCTCAAGGTCCAGGCGCCCTGTGCATCATTGCAGCCGTTAATCTCGCAGAGCTGCGCCGTTGATCCGGCCGTGTAATTGGCGTCGGAACTGCAGCCGCGATACCCTAAGGTTGCATTCACGATTTCCGTATAGCACTGATCCTGCTCCCAGTGATAGAGACAGGGCCGCGGCTTCCCCGCCGGCGCTGCCACACAGCCTGCCCCCGCGCACTGATGACACTTGAGCCGACCAGGTGGATAGACGCCCGCGTTGCACAGATTGCTCGAACAGCTTTTGGAATAGCTGGCCTGTGCGGTGGGCGTCTCGGCGCCACAGCCGCGATACGTAATCGAGTCGACTGCAAAGGATAACCCAATTGAGATTTGGTCACAATCTACTTCAGCTACCCACCAATGGACATGGCACACGTCAGCTCCGCGGCGCACTCCTTGTACGGCAGCAGGCCCACCTCGCCCAGCGTCTGGGCGCACTCGGGCAGCGCAACGGAATCGCAGTGATAGCAGACAATGGCCCCCGCGACAATGACCGGCCGCAGGGCGAGGCCTATGAACAATAATCGCATTATTGGAAAAACATTAAGGGCAACAGTTGGCACAGCTTACAGCCCAGCAACAGGATTAGCAGCTTGTCAGTTGGAACGTTCATTTTGGCGGCCACCTGCACTCGAATAAATTACTTTTGTGCATTGACAATGCGGAGATCCGTTTTATGGCTTATCACAGGGCATTCAAACAAAGGCCTCTATCAGTCCGATAGAGATAAGGATAAGCCGCATTCTGGCGCTCGAGAACAATGGCAAGCCATAAATGGGTAATACTTGCTATAAGTACTACTATATACTATATATTCGAATAATGGGCGATAATACATCCAAAAGGGTACTGCGAATGCCTTAAATTTAATAGGTATATTCTATTTCCTAAGAATTACATGAAATTAGATCGAAAATCATGAACAAAAAACAATTGAGTTTCGATAAAGTTGTTGCTGTGTACAATTTTGACATAAGTTCAAAGCGGATTTTTATTTTTAAGTGTTTTTTGAGAAAAAATCTGTTTAAATTTGAATAAAGAATTCATTTGGCAGCCAAAACATGAAGAAATTGTTTGAGTTTTGACAAAGTTATGACTGTGGGAAATTTCGATATATGTTTATGGGGGTTTTTTTTTCATGGTATATAGAGAGTGGTCTATTTATTTGAATTTCAGTCAAAATTGTGGTTTCCCAATTTGAATGAAGAATTATTTTGGGAAAGAAACCATGAAGAAAAATATATTCCGCATTGAAAATGGTTGAGTTTTGATACACTTGATGACTATGGGAAATTTCGATCTATGTCCATATGGGATTTTTATAGAATATTTTCACTTGAATTTTGGTCAAAAATTGTGTTTCTAAATTTAAATGCAGAGTTCATCTAGGGGACAAACCATGAAGAAAATATAATCCGCATTGAAATTGGCTAAGTTTTGACAAAGTTATGACTGTGGGAAATTTCGACCTATGTCCATATGAGATTTTTATAGAATATTTTCATTTGAATTTTGGTCAAAAATTGTGTTTCTAAATTTAAATGCAGAGTTCATCCAGGGGGTAAAATACGAACAAAAATAATTGCGCATTTTAATTAGTTGAGTTTTGACCGAGTTATGTCTGTGGGAAATTTCGATCCATGGCACTTTTGGTCAAATTTTTAATTGAATGGTGGCCAACTATATAAACTATCCGCATGGATCAGAAAAGAGCTTTTCAGACGTGCTTGAAATAAGGAAAATGTTATTCTTGGCATAATAATAGGCGTAGAAACAGGTTGAATGCATTTTGACCTTCCGGTTGGGCCCAGATGTCAGAGGTCAAATGCAGAATGGACATATCATATCATATACATATATACACTTGGTTTGAAAAACAGGTTTTTAGAAATGCCTAATGTTCACATGATCAATAATTCAGGAGGCTCGCTTTGCGGCCAGGATGAAACGGAGCTAGTTAAGGGTGTGGGAAGAGGGGTGCGGCGGGGCACGGGGGGGGGTCAGTTAAATGGGTCGAGTGGCATATATCGATTTAATTTAGAGTATGATAATTGCGTGACAATCAGCGACATATGGCCAGCAATTTGATGGCCTTGCCGCAGTTGCTCGCGCGGCAGCAAAGGGACAGGAACGGACGGACGACAATCGAGAATTGTAGCCAATTAATTTGGTCAACTGGGCTATTTGCAGAGCTCTTCAGGAATAGCGTCCAATCAGCCCATATTTACAGCTTGACTTACGGAAAAAACCGCCAAAGCAGCGATGAATGTGAAGCATCTAAGTTGGTTCACGCTAAGCCTGCTGCTGGTCCTGCGAGGCAGCGCTGCAAAGGAGCAGGATCTGGAGCAGGGACAGGATCAGCATGTGGAGGCTGAAATGACTGTGGATATGGATATGGCCACGACGCATATGATGCCCTCATCAGCTGCAGGCGGGCAGCTCGAAAAGTCCTTGGAGCAGGAGGAAGCCAAAATTGAGCCGAAACCGGAACCAGAATCAAGCAAGGCAACGGAAACAAACACAATGGAACCAAAACCAGAAGCGGGCGAAGCAGGGGAAACCAAGTCAATGGAGCAGCAGGACATCAAAAAGAAGCTTGAAGGGGAAACAGAATCGAGTAGGCCAAAGGAAACGAAATCAATGGAAATGCAGAAAACGGTAGTTGAAGAAAACCCGGAACTAGAAGTGGACACATCCACAAAAACTGAGTCAATGGAACAGCCGGAAACTGAAACTGAACCGAACCGGAAACCGGAAACGGAACCAGAATTGATCCAAGCAAGGCAAGCCAAGGCTGTGGAGGAGCATGAAAATCCAACTGAGTCGCCAGCGGAACCAAAGACGGACAAGTCAGAGGCAATTGCGTCAATGGAGCAGCAAGGGGATAAAAATGAAGCGGAGCCGGAACCAGAAACGAGCAAGGCAAGCGAAGCCAAGGCAATGGAAGAGACGGAAAATCCAACTGAACCGCCAGCGGAACCGGAGACGAAGCTTGAACCCAGCATAGAAACCACACACTCCATGGACTATCAGGATGATGCAGCGGCGCCCCACGAGGCGACCAGCCCAGAGACACAAGCTCCAACGACACCAGCTCCAACGGCGCCAGCTCCAACGACGCCAGCTCCAACGATGCCAGCCTCAACGACGCCAGCTCCAAAGACAGCTGAGCCCGCAGTGAAGCAAGTGAATCTCTCGCTGCCGCTGCTGCCCAACAGCTGCTTCAGCTGCTCCAGCTATCGGAATGGCAGCTGTCTGCGGCAGCCCGCGGAGCGACAGCAGTGCTCGCCGAGTTCCAAACGCTTTGGATGCTATACGCTGTTCAAACGTAAGTGAAATAGAGAAATACATGAAAGTTGGGCTTAGTTTTGGTAGGTTGCAGGAATACCTAAGTAGTTCGCTTTTAGACTAGTTTTTCTACAGCTCTTAAGTCAGGCTCGTAAGATCAATTTTAATATCTTTGGCTACAATATTTAAGTTCGTTTTCTCTTAATTTCAATCAGCTTTCGTTTTAGTTTATCTTGTAAAATATGTTTAGCGCAGGCTCTCAGCACGCTTGGCTCAGTGTTAAGACGCGCGACGCGCGAACGAGAAGCTCCCGGTTCGAGACCGGAAAAATACCTATTCTCTCGCAATTATTTAAAATAAAATAATTATTTTTTCAATTCAGATATTTTAAAATTACTTTTGATATTGCTTTAGCCAAAGTCTCTTTGATTCATTTAATCGCTATACTAATTATTTATATCCTCGTCTAGGTGACACACAGCTGATCATGCGCGGCTGCACGGCGGACCTGACCGAGGAAGGTGACAAATATTGCCGCCAGGAAACGGAGCTCTGCAAGCTGTGCACCGGTCCGCTCTGCAACAAGGAGCTGGCTGCATTGGCCAGCGCAGCTCCGTTCCTGGGCAGCCTAACCATCTGGTTGCTATGCCTTATAGCTGTGTTGGGGCAAGTCTAAAAGCTCAGCTTGAGTCGCTTTTTAAGTGTTTAGCAATATTTGTCATATAACTCTTTTATTACTTGAAAATTAATGCGGTTGTTTTATTTACTTTCCTTATCTAATCGTTCATAATGAATGCTTCTTATAAATTCATTCTCAGAAAGTTAAGAGACTTTAGACATCAAATATAGGCAATGGGCATATATCTATATATATATAAAAAATGTTTCGATGTTGGGACTTTCTATCTAAATTAGGAAAAAAAACCTGTTCAAATTGTGTTAAAGATTTAGGAAAGCTGTAGAATTGTTTTTTTTTTTTTCAATATTCTAAAGTTGATTTTCTCTATTTTTAAATAAATATTTCAATTTTATACCAATTTTGCAGTATATTTTTTAAAAACACTATTTTTTTCTGGGTCCAGACTAAAGAATAGTTTTGTAAAGCTTTTAAGCAAGTGTTGGGTAATTCTGAAAGTTAAAAAAAGAGATAAACTCGAATACCCTGTAAAAATGTTTAAGCAACTTTAAGCAAGTGTTGGGTAATTTTGAAAGTTACAAAAAAAAAAAGAGATAAGCTAGAATAACCTGTAAAAATGTTTAAGCAACTTTAAGCAAGTGTTGGGTAATTTTGAAAGTTTAAAAAAAAGAGATAAGCTAGAATAACCTGTAAAAATGTTTTGACAACTTTAAGCAAGTGTTGGGTAATTTTGAAAGTTTTCAAATAAAATAGCTAAACTCGAATACCCTGTAAAAATGGTTTAACAAGCAGATCTTGTCACCATATATAGGAATACTTTAATATCGATTGGGAATCCCTTTTGCCACATCTTATACCCTCTACTGTTGCTTTTCTACTATGTATTCCTTCAAATACCCTCTATGTATGGAACAACAATCGGTTCAATAATCTTGTCGATATAGATAAGCAGTCAATTATCTATTATCTATTATTGATAACGAAAGCTTTGCGAACAACAAGCTAATAAAGTATGTGCAATTGCTGAAAGTATTTAATAAAATTATGAAACTAATAATTCATGGACAATTTGCATTTTAAACAAATCTCAAATAGCGCTATCAGCTATGATAATTACTCAAAATTTGCAAGACCATTAAAAATAGAATTATAATATTTGCATATTTTTTATTATTATTTATCTTTTTTTTTTTATTGATTTCTCAAACGTTGGTCCAATCTTTCAAAGAGTTTTTTCTTTCGTTTTTTGTGATTTGCTACTGAACTAATTTGTTTCAAATGGGAAGAGTCTATTATTAATAACTATAATGACTCACAAAACTGGCCGTATGCTGATTACATGTGTTTATGTATATATATATATTTTTTTTTGTTTGTTTGTCATAGTTAGATAGCTTTTGGTGTATGTAGAATTAGTTATGATAATGTTTTCTTTAATATTTTTTCCTTTTTTTTTACAAATATTTGCTCATTACGAAAATCAGCCCGAACAGACCGAGGCCCATGTGCTGCAACGTGGCGGCTCCATTATAGGTTTTTATGTTGCATCCTTTGGTGTCGCACGTCTCGCAGCGGGAGTCGTCTGCGGATGTGCACTGGAATTTCATCAGGGGAGTCGCATCCGCCAGGCAGCCGCGCACCACGACCCCATCTATAAAGATGGAAATGTGGAAAGTTGCCTTTTATATCTGTCTTCGCTATGTTTATGCATAAGGTTACACTGAGAGAATAAGTCGTCTAAGCGTATCCCTTTGAGTGTATCCCTAAATATCTGAGAGTTTCTCTGACTGTATCTCTAGATGCATGCCTCTGAGTGTATCTTTGTGCGTATCTCGCAATGTATCTCCAAGTCTAAACCTCTTAGTGTGTTCCTATATCTTTGAGAGTTTCACTAAGTGTAGCCCTGAATGTTTTATCTGTATCCCTTTGAGTGCATCCCAACATCTCTCAGCGTATATCTGAATGTATCTGTAAGTGTATCCCTGAGTATGTATATGACTGTATCCCCAAGTGACCGCCTGACTGCATCTTTGAGTTAATCCCCTGAAAATATCTCTGAGATTTATCCTGATTGTATCCCTGAATGTATTATAGAGTGTATCTCTGAGTATATATATGAGAGTATCTCTAAGTGTATCTCTGAGCGTAGTTGAGTATGCATCTCTGCATCTCTGAGATACTCCAAGAGTACTCCTTTAGGTATTCCTGAATGTTTCTCTAAGAGTTTCTTTGAGCTTTTCTCTAAAGCATTTCAAAATGCATCTCTGAGAAAATTTCTGAGGGTATCTCCAAGTGTATCTCTCCAAGTGAATCTGTGAGTATATTTCCCTAAGTATAACTCTGAGTCTATCCTTGCATCCCTGAATGTATCTCCATGTATGTCCCTACATCTCTGAGAATTCCTCTGAGTGTATTCCTTTCTTTGAATGTATTTTCGAGTGTATCTCAAAAGGAAACCCTTCCCTTATGTACGTCGGTGTCTATTGCTGGGTATATTTCTAAGAACGTGTTACTCACTCCACTCTCCGTTGAAGCATTTCTTTGCATCCTCGCCCGTCTGACTGGCAACTGGGCACAATTCGATTCCAACTTGCGCAGAGCGACAGGGCGCATAGTTGTCGCTGCGACAGATGAGGCAACCGAATCCGGCAGCCTGAATGTTGCAGCCGGTGCCCGAGCACGATTCACAGTTGGTCGTTGTGGTGCATGCCTCGGTCAGCTCGTTGGTGCAGCCACGTGACACGGTGCCATCGTCGCCCGTTTTGGTATAGCAACTGACTTCGGTTTCTGTGTAGACCGAAGCTGGGCAGGCCACGGCCTTATCCGCCGCCTGGCTGTTGGCGCAGGTGCTGTTGTCGCTGCACTTGATGCAGCTGCCCAGGACACTCTCGTAGGGGCGATTGTTGCAGCCGTTCTCAGTGTCGCAAAAGACGCAGCTGGCATCGGGCGTGGCGCCCGCGCACTTGTTGCCGGCGGCCGCATCGTTCTGGCAGCCCCGCTGCATGGCCGTCGCGCTAGTGCCAATCATATAACACTTCTGCGCCTCCGCCTGGTAGATGCCGCACGGCATCAACACGGTCGCATTGTCCAGCGTCTGGCAGTTGGCCCCATCGCACTGATAGCACAGCCGTCGATCTGCCGGATAGATGCCCACATTGCAGTTGTCCGTGTTGCATGGACTGCAATTGCCAACTCCCGCCGCACATTCACCACAGCCCCGGGTCAAGGTGCCATTATCCGCCAACTGATTGAGGCACTGCTGTGAGCCGGTCGAGCACAGCTGCAGGGATGTGCCCGTCGCCGTCTGGGACGTGGCGCATTGTGGCTGGGTGCCGTCGCACTGTTTGCACACCAGATTCGCATTGCAGTTGTCCGTGGTGCAGGTCAAACAGTTGGCACTTGGACAGGTTGCATCCGTGACGCAGCCGCGCGTTACAGTTCCGCTGTCATCTGTAAGGGGCATTGCAAGAGAGTGGATTAGTCTCTTTCAATATAAGCATAATCACGAGAAAGTAAGTATAATGAAAATATCTTAGAATCTGAATATTTTGCCATATAAGAAACTACTTTTATACCGATCTATGGCAGCTATATGATATAGCGTTGCGATGTTGATAAGATTTGGAATCATAATGGATATAATAATTCCCGAATTTGGTAAAGTTTACTTAATATAGAAAAGCTTTCTATATCAGAACCAAAACTTTTCGACCGATCTACCCTATGGCAGCTATATATAGTGGTCCGATTCTGTACTTTCCACAATAGAAAGACGTACCTATGCAGAGTTTCAAGACGAAAGCTTTGAAAGACATGGCTATATTAATGATCAGCATCAAGATCTGGAATATATATATATATACTTTATGGCTTGGGAGATGATCCCTTCTATGCGTCACATATTGCATGACAAAATTATAATACCCTATAATACCCTTGGGGTTAAAAAACATCGATCTTTCATAGATTTACGCCCGCCTTCTTTCATTTTAAATAATAAGCATAATATTTTTTTTGATAATAATAATATTATATCACACATGTATGCTACTGCGACCGAATTCTCACAGTGTACGATTTTTCAATGCACTTCAAATGCGAAGTCGTTTGTTTCTTAACAACGTAGCCTAATGTATTTATTGCTATCGGCTCTTGAACATTGTGTTCAGCTGCCCGGAGATAGGCACAATAATGAACTTAGCCCAATAGAGAAACTGGCCGAGAGACTTATCTACAACTGTTTGGCCGTGTAGTTGTGTATGTACATATTTACATGCGTAATTCGAGTGAGTCATGGGACACCTGGCCCATAGAGACTTACCTGATTTGGCAAAACACTGCGTAACGCCCTCGCCGCAGATGGTGGGCGTGGCCGAGCCCGTTGTAGTGCAATCTGCAATGAAGTTATTTATGAATACCTTTATTTACCTATTGGGCCGCCATCGGGCATGAGGGTGGGCTTACTCAGTGCCTGGCAGCCGAATTGGCCAATTGCGATAAGCGTGGCTATCAAAATGCACACTCGACGGCTTCGCATGTTGCAACTAGATTAGATTTTCTTTCTTTTTTACTCGATTATGGTAAACCTCCGTTTGCCTCGACTGCTGCTGGTTAACTGGCCCTCTGCTTATTCCAGTTAGCCGCTGGCCGTGCGGTTTCCTATCCAATTCCATTTCAACACATTCGAAACTTTGTGTTATCTTCCCTTGTTCTATTTGTTCGCTCAGCTAATTTTTTCACTGATAACGGCGATAAAAGAAGCGACGAGATTGCAACTCGAGCTTTTTCCGCGAAATCATTTTCAAAGAAATTAAAGTTCGCGCCGCACAGAACGAGAGAGCGAGAGAGAGAGATAGGTAGTGTGAAAGAGAGAGCTTTATGCAGGCAGCGCAAGCTGATTGCGGTTTGTGCACATGCTTAAAGCTCCAGGCTTTTGAAATAATGGTTTCTTGTGCTTTTGGTCATGAGCTTTTTAAGGATTACGCAGCTTTAAGCTGCAAGCAATTTAAATAAATATGATATTAAATGAAAACAATTTGGAGCTGGTTTTGAAGAGCTTTTCATATTTTAAATGTATTGGCAAAAAGCTTGTGGGCGTAAATTTAGTCTGACTGAAATTAAGTGAGAACAG